ATATGGGATACTTTTACTGTTGACGAAGTAATAGATGAATCGGCATGTGTTCTGTTGCGCTTGTCTCCACATGCTTCCTTGTATCCTTCTCACTTGCCCTATTTGTTCCTCAGGCAGATGTGGTATCTTTTCTGGAAGCATAAGATGTTGAAGATGAGTACTCGAGAGTAATGCCAGGTAAGTAATCAAACAATGGGTTCCAGGCAATCAGTTCCTGATTGTAAGTTTGATTCCAAGTGCTGACTGATTGCTCTCTTTCTCCTTGTCTTGCAGGTAAGAACAAGGGCAAAGGAAAAGACAGGGAAAAAGCATGATATGGGATACTCTTGCTTTTGACCTTGATGATATGAGATACTTTTGCTCTGGTGTGGCTGGTTTGCATAGGTATTATTGGAGGGAAGAAAGCTGAGTATTTCGAGAGGTTTCGTTAGGAGTGCCCTCTCAGATATGAGGAAGGGTTGAGCATTTTTACAGGTCTGCCTGTCCGTGGAGGATGGAGGTCGACATATATAGGAGTCTCCCTAACAACAAGTAGTAATGTTATTCCTTTACCCTTCTTGGTCGTAGCAACATAGTGGGAGCTGCAAGCTTCACGTGTTTTAACTTTGTCAGGGTACTTTGAAAAAGTGGTATGTGGTATCTGGAAAGCTAATGTTGCGTGTGAAGATTGCAGACAAGCTTTATCCAAGGAAATCTGGCTCTCAAAGTTTGGAGAGCGATGCCTCTTCGATTTTCGAACAAGCAATCCTGTCGGGGATTTGGCTCTCGAGATTCGGAGTGCGGTGCCTCTTCGAGATTTTTAAGAAAGCAATCCTGTTGGGAGTCTAGCTCTTGAGATTCGGATAGCGGTGCCTCTTCGATTTTTGAGAAAGTAATCCTGTTAGGAGTCTGGCTCTCGAGATTCGGAGGGCGGTGCCTCTTCGATTTTTGAGCAAGTAATAATGCTATTCCTTTACCCTTCTTGGTCATAGCAATGTAGTGGCAGCTGCAAGCTTCACATGTTTTAACTTTGTCAGAGCGCTTTGAAAAAGTGGTATGTGGTATCTGGAAAGCTGATGTTGCGTGTGAAGATTGCAGACAAGCTTTATCCAAAGAAATCTGGCTCTCGAAGTTCGGAGAGCGGTGCCTCTTCGGTTTTTGAACAAGCAATCCTATCGGGGATCTGGCTCTCGAGATTCGGAGAGCGGTGCCTCTTTGATTTTTGAGAAAGCAATCCTGTTGGGAGTCTGGCTCTTGAGATTCGGAGAGCGGTGCCTCTTCAATTTTTGAGAAAGTAATCCTGTTGAGAGTCTTTTCTCGAATGTGAGTAAAGGTTGGACATTTTTGCCAGTCTGCCCTGCCACGGAGCACGGAGGTTGACACACATTGGGACTTTCTAGTTATCAAGCAGTGGTGCTGTTCCTTTACCCTTGTGGGTAATAGTAGGGTAGCTGGACCTTCAAAATTTATGTGTCTAAACTTTGTTAGAGATCTTTGGCAAAGTTATCTGTGGTACCCGAGGAGCTGATGTTGCGTGTGGAAAGTGGTGCCTCTTCGAAATCCGAAGAGTGGTGCCTCTTCGATTTTTGAACCAACGGCCCTGTTGCCCTTTCTTTTATAAGGGCATCAATTGTGTGCAAAGAGTACATTCAGAGAGTTATTGCTTGTAGGAATTTTCCCCTTACTTCAGATATTTATTGCACCTCATTTCTCCTTCATCATTGGCCCCCATCCTTCTCAAGACAACATATGGCGCCCATCTTTCTTATCCTCTACTGGTCCTCTTACCGTTAGGGACTCTGTGATGAAGAATGATATGATCGCTGCGGTGGTGGCCAGGAACCTTCTCACTCCCAAAGATAACAGACTACTTTCCAAACGGTCTGATGAGTTGGCTATTAAGGATTCTCTGGCTCTCAGTGTTCAATGTGCAGGTTCTGTGTCTAATATGGTCCAACGGCTATTTGCTCGAACCCGCCAAGTTGAATCATTGGCGGCTGAAGTGATAAGTCTCAAATAGGAGATCAGAGAGCTCAAGCATGAGAATAAACAGTTGCACAAGCTCGCACATGACTATGCTACAAACATGAAGATGAAGCTTGACCAGCTGCAAGAATCTGATGGTCAGATTTTACTTGATCATCAGAGGTTTGTGGGTTTGTTCCAAATGCATTTATTGCCTTCGTCTTCTGGGGTTGTACCGCGTAATGAAGCTCCAAATGATCAACCTTCGGCGCCTCCTCCTTCTGGGGTTCTACCTAGTACTGATGCTCCGAATAATCACCCTCTGGTGCCTCCTCTTTCTGGGGCTCTGCCGACTGCTGAGACTTCTCCTGAGCAACCTTTGTGAAGGCTCCCTCCCTCTTGTTTATTTATTTTGATTCATGTATATGTACATATTTGTAACTTATCGGAGATATCAATAAACAAGCTTTGCTCCATTTTAACGTATTGTGTTAAATACACCAAAGCCTTCTTCACTAAGTTCTTTGAATTTTTCCTTTTGTTGAAGCTTGTATGTTAAAGCTTTGTGAGTGAAGCATGTAGGTTGAGGTAGTGCTCCCTTAATTTCCCGAGTGAGGAAAACTTCTCGTTTGGAGACTTGAAAAATCCAAGTCACTGAGTGGTCGTGAGACTTCCGAGTATCAAGGTGCAGTAGCATATGGTAGGAGTCCCCCAAGTCTCCGATTGAGGGAGTTCACGAATGAGGCATTTCCTTTCTAAGTGGTAGCCCAAAACTCCTTCTTCATATATATTTGTTACGAAAGTTGTTAGACCCAAAGAAAATGAGGCTTATACAATTTTTTTTTTTTTCGAATGATCTAGTACAAATGAGTACAAATGACATTAGGAAATATTGTGAGAGAATGATCTCTATTTATAGAAGAGAGTTTCTAGTTTCATTCTGACATTGACATGTGTCGTGTTGTGATTGGCTTCTGATGTTGACACGTGTCGCGTTATAATTGGCTTCTGATGTCGACACGTGTCACACTGTGATTGGTCTCCTGGTTGGAGGGAAACTCTTCTGGGTCCTTGACGGTATAACGTTGACCGGTGCTCAGTAGTTTCGAGATTGGTCAAGTATGGTACAAACAAAAATAAACTACATATTCTTGCTAAGGCTCATGGTCTCGTCCTAGCAAACGAAACTAGTTATGAACAATCATAAAATAAAATATTATTAAAAATGTGGATAGAAAACACCTTGAAAATAAACTTGAACTCAAAAGCTCTCTAAAGTGTGCGTATGTTCTCCCCCTTTTTTCTCCCCGTTAACATAATGGCTAAATATCTTATTTATACTAATACAAAATAAAATCCTAAAATGTCTTAGAATAAAACTAGGAAACATAATAAATAATAAAACAGAAAATAAAAGGTTTCCTATTTAAACTAAAATTCGGAATTATCAGAAAATTAGTCTTTTAACTGACCAAATCAACTCCGATTTGGTCCTAAAAGGTCTCTTTTGAAAGCTATAGAAGTCCGCTACAAATCCTCAGAATGAATATTCCTCAAAATATGCCGTCTTGACCTTCAAAATACCCAAACGTCCAGGAACGTCAATCTGGGAAAGCTGCACGCTGGGCCTTTATTTTTTCGCCACTATCAAACGGCTTGGTAGAAAAATCTGGAATTTTGACACAATCATTATGAAAGGCACATGAACATCCTCCAATTGGAATCACTCCAAAATTGATCCGTTTGATCACTTTCTGCTCCAGAGGAAGTCGAATATCCTACATTGAGAATACATAACAAAGTATCAAAATTACCAAAATAACCAATAAATTAATATTAAGATTATGGTAAAATATATAGTATAATATTGACTCATCACAGACCTTCTTTATGTTCCTAAACACCAATGATACAAACAGGTCGCCAATTGTAGTTGTATTGCCTCTAATGATAAAAAGAGACATGCTAATTATGTCTCTATAAACAAGATAGAGACAGTTCCACATATGTAGCTATGTAATGAGTTGAATGGATTAACTGATAGATCAAATTAAGGACAGTTAACAAATATATACCACATATGTACCTCTATACGTACATCGAACCGAAGCTAAGAGTTTTATTTCTGAAAATAATGCTCCTTTAAACTTCAATTGGTAACCAGATCTCTACATACCACATGAAGGTGTGACCCAAAATGCCGCATATTGTAACAAAAGGCAGAAGAGTAAGGTTATCTTGGACAGTTCGAACTATGAATTACTTAGTCTCTTATCCATCACGCAACTCGCGTTCAGCATTGGGCTAACCCCAGTAGCTTGAAAGGTAATCTTTTTGCTTTTAAGTACTATGAAACAAAAAAAGAAAAATTAGTATCTGGTCCCTAGTTACTAATGTTTATTGACTGAGATCTTATTAGTTTTCAAATTTTAATTGAAATCCCTATCATTAATGTGATAATGAATTTACATGTTAATTACATAATTTTTTAAAATAAAAATTAGTAATTGATTTAGGGTTTTAATACTCACACTTCTATTAAACTCCTAATTAATTTTCGATTCAAACATTTCCAAAAAAAATAATAATAATACACATTTCAATTTTTAATTTTTAATTTAAAAACTATAGTAACTTACATTATTATATTAATGTCAAGGAATTCGATCAAAATCTAAAAATAGATAAAGTTTCAATAAAAGAATATTGATAGTTAGGAACCACATCCAAAGTGTCCCAACAAAAAATTAATACAAAGTAAAAACTCCAAAGGTGCATGGCGCTGTTATTGATGAGTAAATTGGAGAGAGTGTAACCACTCTCCAAGTTAAGCAGGTGAAGAAGATCGCACGAAGTGTAAATTATAGCGAAAAAGCCATCCTAGTCGTCTCATTCCGTAGACTTGAGTTTTACGATAGCTTTAACCATCTCCGTCGGCGTCGTCACCGGCCGTCAACCATTTCCCATAAATCATAGCCCCCGTTGACAATTAGAATGATATTTAAGCCCCATGACAACATCCCCACGTAAAATTTGATTCATTGTTCAAACTCAAAACACAGAGAGAGAGAGAGAGAAGGGCTAAACCTCTATAGCACTATAGAGCTAGCAAACTTGATTGTTTAGTGCAAATATCTATTTTACATTGAGATTGAGTCGTATATATATATTTGAGATTGGTATAAGTGAAGATTGATGGCTAATTCATCGAGTGGTGGTGTGCCTCCGGGATTCCGATTCCACCCCACGGACGAAGAGTTGCTTCACTATTATTTGAAGAAGAAGGTGTCCTTTCAGAAGTTTGACATGGAGGTCATTAGAGAGGTGGACTTGAATAAGATGGAACCTTGGGACTTGCAAGGTATGAAAACTTTTTTATGTTTTTGCAATTATATTAATTCTACTTTGAGCTCAATTACGATCTAGTTAATTTGCTCAAGAGCTTCGTTTCTAATTAATAAGCTGGCCGGAAACACCCAATAAGCTTCGCTTCTAGTTAATTGAGATTAATATATTCAACTTTGAACTTTGTTAATGTTTTTCTTCAAGATTGTCTTTACTCGATCTTAATTGGTTTCGGTTAAGATTTTTTTTAAGTAATTGTAGCTGGAGTAGAAAAAATTTGATACAAAGAGGAGAAAAAAAAAACGTTTAAAAGATTTGAAGTTTCTCAATTTATGCAATTCCATGAAAAGTAAAAGGGTATGCTAGAAAGATCAAATTCTTAAACCAAATTTTGTAAATTGAATGATGTGATTGTTAATAATTGGATTATTACTTAACTGTTGACTAGCGCGTTTATTTTCTATTGGTGACACATTATTTAACTTGCAAATTTGTTTTAAAAAAAGTATGTTAGGAAGACTAAATTATATCAATATTGGTTGAGTCTTGAATAATATGCAGCGCGCACGACTTAACAATTAGATTCAAAGAATGGTTTGGTTGAACAATTTATATATGAATATAAACCAAGGAATATTAACAAATGCATCATATAACTTAACACTCAAGAGCGGGAATTTACACGTTAAAAAGTTGATGGAATTAGTAAACAAAAATATTATTTATACCATTATTTATTTGTACTATCTATATTCCATATATGTTGATGAGTCTTACCTCTAATAGTGAGATAATACACATAATGGTATAAATAGATCGTAAGTATAGCATTTCTTGTAAACAAATAATTAGCTGGTCTTCCTTGTAGATACGGCTTTCTCAGGCAGTCAAGTCAACCGGTTGCCCAGGACATGCACATTTTGAAATTAATTTTTAACTTAATGACACACACATAATATATATATATATATATGCACAAAAAAAAAAAAACCAAAAAAACCAATTCCTACATAATCTGTAATTATTATTTTTTTTTTTTTTTTTTTTTTGGTGCAAGTACACAGAGAGATGTAGGATTGGGTCAACTCCACAAAACGAGTGGTACTTTTTCAGCCACAAAGACAGGAAGTACCCAACAGGGTCGAGGACAAATAGGGCTACAAATGCTGGGTTTTGGAAGGCAACAGGGCGGGACAAATGCATCAGAAACACCTTCAAGCAGATTGGCATGAGAAAAACCCTTGTTTTCTACAGAGGCAGAGCTCCCCACGGCCAAAAGACTGACTGGATTATGCACGAGTACCGCCTCGAAGATGGCGATGATCCTGATGGAAACCTATCTAGTGTATGCACTACTATCTCCATCTCCATTTCATTTTCATCAGTCTATATCTCGATCGTCACTTTATGTTATATTATTTATAATAAGGAAATTAATTAGCTAGGGTTTAGGATTTTTGTTACCTAATATATCTTTCATTAATTCGGAGATTTTAATTGGTCACGATAAATATTGCAAACACATGCAGGAAGATGGGTGGGTGATCTGCAGGGTTTTCAAGAAGAAAAATTTATTCAAGGTTGCGAATGAAGGAGGAAGCTCTAGCATGAACTCTTCAGACCATCAGCAGCTCAAAAATACATCAAGCAACAGCCAATTGCAAGCTCGCTCCTTCATGCATAGCCACAGAGACAACCAGTACTTACTACGCCAACAACACCATGCAGCAGCCCAAGCATTCGAGCTAAACAACAACCCAAGCCTTCACTACGCCCACCTGCAGCCACCCCCTCCCTACTCTCTTTTCCAATCCCAAGCCCTTATCCCCACCCTCGCCCACAAGCCCCTTTCCGCCTACGACGACTACTCATCCCAGCACCCCTCCGACGATTCACCTAGCCACGGCATGGTCAAGCAGCTCATGACAAACCCTAGAGACCGCGAAAGTGGCAGTGAGGGCCTCCGGTACCAAGCTTGTGAGCCAGTGTTAGAGGTTGGCACGTGCGAACCAAACCATCAACTGAATACGGTTGCAGGAGGAGCTGGAGCAGCTGGCGGAAGAGATAATAATCATGATCACCAGGGGATGAGTGAATGGGCTATGCTCGACCGCCTGGTTACTTCTCATGACCTTGGAAATGATCAAGATTCGTCGTCCAAAGGAGCAGCCAGGTATGAGGATGCAAATGCACCCTCTTCTGTCAACCAAATTAACCCCCAGCACCTCTCGTTGCGTGGAGAGATGGATTTTTGGGGCTATGCAAAATAATATGGATTAGAGCTAATTACCAAACCAAAATGGCTCTAACCATGCATATTTTATATATTAAGGCAAATATACCAAATTCGACAGCCATGGAAGGAATTTATAGTTGTTCCTTTTAGAGAGAAATTAAAATATTGGACGTTTTTCTGGTTCTTAATGAATTTATTGTGAATTTTCAATTAATTATTTTAATACAAAAGCACTTGATTGAAATGGTTGTCTGCATAGGCCCCTTGTGTTCTCACCTAACGGTCCATCAGGAGAAGGATTCATAATCATTTATTGTGTGCGATCCTTATAAACCGTATATTATAAACTTAATTTTTCATATAATATTGTATCTGTAGCTATTACAAATGCTAAATGTGAACCCTCGCTCTAATTACAGAGCTGAGATTATACACATACATAAGTGTCTCTTTCATGGTATGAATAGCCTGCGTCTAATGCCAAAGATTCAATTTTTTTTAAGAGTGGGCCCAGATGATATACCGATCGAAGTGTGGAAAGTTTTGGGAGAGACAGGTATAGCATGGCTCACTAACATTTTCAATAGGATTTTGAAAACAAAGAAGATGCCAAATGAGTGGCGAAAGAGCACTTTGGTGCCTATCTACAAGAATAAGGGCGACGTACAAAATTGCATGAACTATAGTGGTATTAAGCTAATGAGTCATACAATGAAGCTCTAGGAGAGAGTCATTGAGCATAGATTAAGGCAAGAGACACGGGTTTCGGACAACCAATTCGGGTTCATGCCAGGGCGCTTAACCATGGAAGCAATCTATCTCTTACGAAGATTGATGGAAAGATATAGAGAGGGGAAAAAGGATTTACACATGGTCTGTATAGATTTGGAAAAAGCGTATGATAGGGTCCCAAGAGACATTCTCTGGAGGATTTTGGAGAAGAAAGGAGTACGAGTAGCATATATCCAAGCTATAAAGGATATGTATGAAGGAGCAAAGACTGCCTTAAGAACTCATGAAGGACAAACCAAAAGCTTCCCCATAACTGTAGGATTACATCAAGACTCATCCTTAAGTCCTTACCTTTTTGCTTTGGTAATGGATGAGTTAACAGGACATATTCAAGATGATATTCCTTGGTGTATGCTTTTCGCAGACGATATAGTGTTGATAGATGAAACTCAGGAAGGGGTAAATGTAAAGCTTAACCTTTGGAGAGAAGTGTTGGAATCTAAAGGTCTTCGTCTAAGCCGATCAAAGACGGAATATATGGAGTGCAAGTTCAGTGCAAATGGAGGCCAAAATGAGTTAGGGGTGAGGATCGGAGATCAAGAAATACCAAAGAGCGACTGCTTTCGCTACCTAGGATCTATCTTGCAAAAGAACGGAGAATTAGATGGAGATCTCAACCATAGAATACAAGCTGGATGGATGAAGTGGAAGAGTGCATCCAGCATGTTGTGCGACCGTCGTATGCCACTGAAGCTCAAGGGAAAATTTTATAGGCCGGCGATGCTGTATGGCACAGAATGTTGGGCGGTGAAGCATCAACACGTACACAAAATGGGTGTAACGGAGATGAGGATGCTTCGTTGGATGTGTGGGCACACGAGAAAGGATAAGATTAGGAATGAGGATATCCGAGGTAAAGTATGAGTAGCCGAAATTGTAGGAAAGCTGAGAGAAAATCGGTTACGGTGGTTTGGACATGTGCAAAGAAGGCCTACTGACGCTCCGGTTCGAAGATGTGACTATAGGACAGAGGTTCAGGGCCGAAGGGGTAGAGGAAGATCTAGGAAAACTTTGGAAGAGACTCTAAGAAAAGACTTAGAGTACTTAGATCTAACGGAGGACATGACACAGGACCGAGCACAATGGCGTTCTAAGATTCATATAGCCGACCCCACTCAGTGACTTGGATTTTTCAAGTCTCCAATCGAGAAGTTTTCCTCACTCGAGAAATTAAGGGAACACTACCTCAACCTACATGCTTCACTCACAAAGCTTCAACATACAAGGTTCAACAAAAGAAAAATTCAAAAAACTTAGTGAAGAAGGCTTTGGTGTATTTAATACAATACGTTGAAATGAAGCAAAGCTTATTTATTGATATCTCCGATAAGTTACAAATATGTACATATACATGAGTCAAAATAAACAAACAAGAGAGGGCATTCACAAAGGTTGCTTAGGAGAAGTCTCAGCAGTCGGTAGAGCCCTAGAAAGAGAAGGCACCGGAGGTTGATCACTCGGAGCCTCAGTACTGGACAGAACCCTAGAAGGAAGAGGCATCGGAGGCTGATCATTTGGAGCTTCATTACGCGGTACAACCCCAGAAGACGAAGGCAATAAATGCCTTTGGAACACACCCACAAACCTCTGATGATCAAGTAAAATCTGACCATCAGATTCCTTCATCTGGTCAAGCTTCCTCTTCATGTTTGTAACATAGTCATGTGCGAGCCTATGCAACTATTTATTCTCATGCTTGAGCCCTCTAATCTCCTGCTTGAGGCTCATCACTTCAGCCGCCAATGATTCAACTTGGCGGGTTCAAGCAAATAGGCGTTAGGCCATATTCGACACAGAATCTGCACACTAAACATTGAGAGCTAGAGAATCCTTAACAGCCAACTCATCAGACCATTTGGAAAGAAGTCTGTTATCTTTGGGAGTGAGATTGTTCCTGGCCACCACCGCAGCGGTCATATCATTCTTCATCACAGAATCCCCAACGGTAAGACGACCAGTAGGGGATAAGAAGGATGGGCGCCATATGTTGTCTAGAGAAGGCGCGGCTGCATCTTCACCAAGGTTCAAGTCAAAACAACGGTCGGAAGGGCCAGACATTTTCAAAGGTGTTGAAGAGAGAAGAGGTCGGACAAATCAAGATCTTAGAATTGCAAGAATGAAGCTTCTACTGGTGGAGATTCAAGTGTGCTTTGGAACTTAATGCCAGCCTTTATAAAAATCTACACTCGACGGAGCTTCAGAAATCGAAGAGGCGCCTGCTCAGAAATCGAAGAGGCGTTTGCTTTCTCAAAAGCTGGGCTGCTCAGAGACCACGAGGGCCGATCTCAGAAATCGAAGAGGCACCTGCTTTCTCAGCCTTGTCAGCACCTGTCACATGCACACTTAGCTTTGCGAAAATTACGGGCAATCTGTCGAAGATTTCTGGTGAAGTAGAAAGCACGCGAATCTTACTGTTCAATCATCCACTTTCCACACACAACATCAGCTCATGGGTACCACAGATAACTTTGTCAAAGATCTCTGACAAAGTTTAGACACGTAAAGCTTGCAGTTCCCACTATATCGCTATGACCAAGAAGGGTAAAAAAATAGCAAAGAAACAGCACTAACAAAGTTTAGACACATAAAGTTTGAAGGTTTAGCTACCATATTATTACCCACAAGGGTAAGGAATAACACCACTGTTGGATAATTGGAAAGTCCCTGTGTGTCAACCTCTGTGCTCTGTGGCAAGGTAGACTAGCAAAAATGCCCAACCTTTACTCACATTCGAGAAAACACCTCAACAAGATTGCTTGCTCCAAAATCGAAGAGGCACCGCCCTTCGAATCTCGAGAGCCAGACTCCTAACAGGATTACTTTCTAAAAAATCGAAAAAACAACGGCAGGATTGCTTTCTCAAAAATCGAAGAGGCACCGTTCTCCGAATCTCGAGAGCCAGATCCCCAACAGGATCACTTGTTCGAAAACCGAAGAGGCATCGCTTTCTCAACTTCGAGAGCCAGATCTCCTTGGATAAAGCTTGTCTGTAATCTTCACACGCAACATCAGCTTTCCAGATACCACAGATCAGAGTTAAAACACATGAAGCTGGCAGCTCCCACTACAGTGTTATGACCAAGAAGGGTAAAGGAATAGCATTACTACTTGTTGTTAGGGAGACTCCTATATATCTCGACCTCCATCCTCAACGGACAGGCAGACCTGCAAAAATGCTCAACCTTTCCTCATATCTGAGAGGGCACTCCCAAAGAAGCCTCTCGAAATACTCAGCTTTCTTTCCCCCCGATAATACCTCTGCAAACAAGCTACACCAGAGCAAGAATATCTCATATCATCAGGGTTAAAAGCAAGAGTATCCCATATCATGCTTTTTCCCTATCTTTTCCTTTGGCCTTATTCTTACCTGCAAGACAAGGAGAAAGAGAGTAATCAGTCAGCACTTAGAATCAAGCTTCCAGTCAGGAACTGACTGCCTGGAACCCCTTACCTGATTACTTACCTGGCATTGCTCCGGAGTACTCATCTTCAACATCTTATGCTTCTAGAGAAGATACCACATCTGCCTGAGGAACAGATAGGGCAAGTGAGAAGGATACAAGGAAGCATGTGGAGACAAGTGTAACTGAACACGTGTCGATACTTCCACTACTTTGTCAACAGCAAAAGTATCCCATATCAGCATGGTCAAACGTACTCTAGATTTGATGGACTTGTTTTGACCCTCAAATTCTTCAGTCGGCCTTATACTCTGGAGGTAACCAGAAAACCCTCCAGCCCAGTTCAAGAATAAGCCTGTGGAAAGTTACTTCTTCAAAAGCAAAAGTATCTCATATCATCTTCTTCTTTTCTTCTTTTTATCCTTCATGCTGCCTGCAAGATAAGGAGAATAAGAACAATCAGCCGGAACTCGAAATCAAACTTCTGATCTGGGAGTGATTGCTTGGAGCTCTGATTACTTACCTTGTCTGTCACCTCTTTCAGCAGATCCCCTAGCTCGGCGACTTGGGGGACTCTTGCTACATGGTTTGTATCGCGCTTGACCAAGCCTGAAACTACAAGTAAGCTTCAAATGAAATTGATACATTACCTTGTGCATCTCCACCAGTTAAAGATACCACCCCTGGACGGAGGAAGAGTACTTCCAGAGAAGATGCCACATCTACCTATAAGACAGATAAGGCAAGTGCGACACGTGTCAACATCAGAAGCCAATCACAACACGACATGTGTCAATGTCAGAACAAGGCTAGAAACTCTCTTCTATAAAAGGAGATCATTCTCCCAAAATATTTCTTAATGCCATTTGTACTAAATCATTCACTTGTACCCATTAAAGGAGAGTTTGAACCTATGTACTTGTGTAAACCCTTCACAATTAATGAGAACTCCTCTACTCTGTGGACGTAGCCAATCTGGGTGAACCACGTACATCTTGTGTTTGCTCTCCTGTCTCTATCCTTTTACATACTTATCCACACTAATGACTGGAGCAATCTAGCGAAGGTCACAAACTTAATACTTTCTGTTGT